CAACCACGCTGCTCAGAAACTCACGTCTCTCCCCCCCCCCCCCCCCGAGCTCCACACACCACCCCCTCAGTCACTCTCAGAAAGCCGGTCTGTCTGTCTCCCCCTTTCCAAGACTCGGCCAGTCTGCCCCCCCTTTAAGAATCTGAGTTTCTCCGCAACTCTGCAGAGCCTGCCCCCCACTGCAATGAGTCTGCTGTCCTGCCCACCCGGCCTGTGTCAGTCTGTCCTCACCTGCAGAGTGAGCCCCTGTGGCCAGCACACCGCGCTGCCTCCCCTGGACCTCGGCAGCGAGACTGGTCTGGTGTCTGACTCTGCTCCCTCGAGCCGCTGTGGCTTCCTTTTTATTGCTGAGCATGCCTGGAGGGGCCGCACATGCTCACTAACAGCAGCTGAAGCCCTGCCCTAAGCCGGCACTCATCATCCCCAGGACCCCAGCCGCAGGATTTGCTCCCCGATCAAACTGCTCTTCTCCGGATGGGGGTGCTCCGTGCCCAGGGCTGCGGCGTTAAAGCCCCGCCGGGCCCCCCACTGCCCATTGCAGACCTGGTTCCTTGTCACCCTTGTTAAGTATTATGGTCGTGGCCAAAGTCCTAGTCGGGACGGGACGGGGGGGAGGGGCATTATACCCTTGTGAGAACAGTCACCGTCCTGCCAGAGTTCACAACCCCGCCACTACCACGGGTGCGGATGGGCGCTGCCCTCCTGGACAAGCGAACGAGCAAGGGGGTGGTTACCTGTTTTGCTGCTGCTGGTGGTGATAGTTTTCAGTTGTGGTTAGGGAGCGGGAGAAATGTTGGCGCTCGGGAGAGGAAGGGGAAGAAAGAAGGACAATCACAGCTCGGCAGCTGCCCAGCACTGATCAGGGCCGGTGTATTAAATTGCTCTCCATAGGAATGTGCTACTTATGGTGTACTGAGCATGCTCAGTACATCTGCTGACGCCACTGCCCCTCACCTTGCCCTTATTAGCCGTAAAAAATCTGCTGACTGCTATTTACAGGGGTTAAAAAGGGGCAAAGGGGGCGAATCAGAGCAGGGAGGTGGCCAGGTTCTGAGCAGGGGGCGGAAGTTGAGTGGTCAGGGGGGTCAAGCAGCTGGAGGCAGCAGTAGGAGAGGGGCTAAAGGGCAAAATCAGGAATGGGGGGAGTAGGCGGAGTTAAAACCAGGAGTGAAGCACTGGCAGAGGGTGACAGAGGGCAAAACCCAGCACAGGCAGAGCACCGGGGGTAACAGTTACCCCACTGGGACTGAGACACCAGTGTTTGCAAAAATGGTGGGGGACAAAGGGGCTTTTTTATTTCCCCTCTCACAGACAGCACCTCTCACAGACAGCACCAATGGGGATTGCATTTTTGCAACTGTTATTTTGCCTCTTAGTCTAGCCCTTAGTGTTTTTGTGCATGCTGTTGTATACAACTTGATTCTGAAATATTCAGTAAAGGCAGTATACTATCTCCTATAATGTTGAGAATGGATTCAGGCAGAGAGATCATAGAATATCAGGGTTGGAAGGGACCTCAGGAGATCATCTAGTCCAACCCCCTAAATATATGGAGATATACCTATCTCATAGAACTGGAAGGGACCCTGAAAAGTCATCAAGTCCAGCCTCCCGCCTTCACTAGCAGAACCAAGTACTGATTTTGCCCCAGATCCCTAAGTGGCCCTCTCAAGGACTGCACTCACAACCCTGAGTTTAGCAGGCTAATGCTCAAACCACTGAGCTATTCCTCCCCCTTACTGAGCTTAATGTCTTTCTCCCCGGAAAAAAATCTATTGTATTTTTTGCAGAAAATTAGAACTGCCATCATGGGTCAGACCAATAGTCTGCCTAATCTAGTATCCTGTCTTGTGACAGTGGCCAATGCCAGGTGCTTCTAAGGGAATGATCAGACCAGGCAATGATTCAGTGAACCATCCCATTGTCCACTCCCAGCATCTGGCAGTGAAGGGACAGTTTAGGGACATGCAGAGCATGGGCCTGCATCCCTGATTATCTTGGCTAATAGCCAATGTGCTTATCCTGAGGGACTGATCTAATTCTTTGTTCAACCCATTCATAGTTTTGTCTTTCAAAATATAATGAACACACACCTACAACCCCAAGATACCTTTACAACCACAAGAATTCTAAAATCATGAGTTATACACCCTCAAGTCAAGAACTTTTAATAAATAAATTATATCTTTTTTTTATGTGCCTCTTTGTTCCTAAGCCTGTAGAGTGCAGTAAGGCCAGTTCCAATGCCTTGAGCCTAAACACCTGAATGAATCTTAGTCTACCCTCATACTGTTCCTGTTACCGCTCCCAAACATTTAATAGACCTAAGGCCATATCTACACTTTAAGTGTGGGTTAACTCAAGTTATGTCAGCATAGAGTCAGTACAGTTACTATGTCAAGTATCAGGGGGTAGCCGTGTTAGTCTGTATCCACAAAAACAACAAGGAGGCCGGTGGCACCTTATCTATTAGTCTTTAAGGTGCCACCAGACTCCTTGTTGTTTTTACGGTTATTATGTCACTTGTGTGCATGCCTCCTGGACTCCTTGTCTCAGCAGTCAGGGTACTCACCAGAAGCACTTGTATAGATTCAGAGTGAGGTGCACCATGAATAGATATCCCACTGTATTTTGGGAAGCTTTGTTTTGGCAGTGTATGCTGGGTACCAAACAGGTCAGACGGGGTGGTTGTGACCATGGGATCCAACTTCTTATAATGCATTGTTAACTATCCACTAATTTCATATGTATCCCATACATAAACGTATACATAATGTTTACAGTTTTTTTTCTAAACCCACAAACATGCCTGGCCCACTGTCTGCCATCTCACACAGACTCATGGAGCTTGCATGGCTCTGCACTATTGTCATGAACGTTTGCACCCAAAGGTGCATACTCCTTTACTATTTGCAGAGCAGCAAACATACATGTGGGGTGTGCAGGGCCGGCTCTGGCTTTCTGGCCGCCCCAAGCCAAAAAACCGCGGCGGCCAGAACAGCAAAGCAAAAAAAAAGAACAATAACAGAATAACATATACACCTGAAAGCTGAAGGACACTTACTGTGTAGTTGTCTGAGATTTGGTCTGGGAATCTTGCCTCAAAGTAGTCGATAGGGTGACAATTTGGTTGTCGTGTTTGGTTTTGCTACAAATTGCTTCAAATGTTTAGTACATTGAAACTCAACTTGTCTTCTATTTCAAGTAAAAGGAATTATCCCACTGCACTAGGATGGCCTCTTTACGCCTTTTCGATTGCATACAATTTCTCTCAGTAAAGACAGTCCTTTCCCCTTCCCCCACAAATAATCCATCCCCATTTTTTACAGAGCATTGCACAAGTTGGTTGATGACAGTGCGACTAATTGTGATGAATTTCTTGGTGATGTATTTTCTTTGAGAACAAAACCAAACACGACAACCAAATTGTCACCCTATCGACTACTTTGAGGCAAGATTCCCAGACCAAATCTCAGACAACTACACGGTAAGTGTCCTTCAGCTTTCAGGTGTATATGTTATTCTGTTATTGTTCTTTTTACAAACACAACTCCTTCTCCATTTGTTTCCAAAGCCAACAGATTTTGAGGAACTTGATGAAGAATGCTAGAAAGAGTTCATCATGAAAATTGAAGCTAGACGTGATGCTGAAACTAAACTGCCTATTAGTAATATTTCAAAAGCACAAGAAAAGCAACAAATACAATATGCCAAAACGAAGACTCGTAAACATGGGGAAATAACATTCAAGATTGGTGACACTGTCATGTTACTGAATGCGAGAAGGAAAACAAGAAAGGGAGGGCAGCTACAACCTACCTACGTGGGACCATACAAAACTGCCGCTGTAGAGGGCAAAAGAGTTAAATTAGGAAACAAGTTAGGGAAAGGTTTAGCAAAGTTGTACAGTATCTCCCAACTAAAAGTATTTAAAGAGCCTCCAAAATTAGGTGAGGAAAACATATCACAGAGAAACATGGAAAAGGAAACTGCTGTGGATGACACTGTGAAAACCTCTGAGGTAGGAGAAATGGGAGGCGATGTATCTAACAAGCCTCACAACAGCCAAGTGGTGGTCACACACCCGGAAAAGGAGGAGTGTGTAATGTCAAGAGTTTCAAGCAGTCATCCAGGTGATTTTGATGACATGGTTACAGAGGATGATGAAGACAGAGAATGGTTTCTCAAAGGTGTTGCTTACCACACAGTTGTTTTTAAATAATTTGTTGACACACTTCCATTTATCAAGGATGTCAATAGTTTCCATGTAGGAATGGAATGTTTGTTTGCAAAAATCATTTCTCTATCTCTTTTGTACACAACACCACACAAGAGAGGTGGGAGGCACACCAACTTCTATCTAACACCTGGTGATAGATCCAGAGGGGTGAAAAGATCTGCTGCTGAAATCAGAATTGTAGCTGGCCTATTTACTCTTGAGTTAACAGGGCAGCAGAAAGTTGAGAGGACAAACTGGAGGCACACAAGGTGATGTAACTTGCCAAAGGTTACACAGCAAGTCAGTGGAAATCCTGGCTCTCATTTCCCTGAACTTTTCTTCAGAATCCCGAATTATAAAAATTCTGGATTTCCCCTGGTAAATTCTCTAAAGGCCTGATCAGTGTAATCTCTCTGGTATATTCCCCCCACTATATTTCCAGCAGCAGCAGCAGCTATTATCTGGCAGGTTAATCAGCTGAAACTCTCATCTTTCCAAATGTCATCTTGTGTGTATTACATTTTGTGTTGAGTGAGAGAAGCCAGATGAAGGTAGGGAGTGTGATTGGGCTGGGCATGTGCAGAGTTTAGCAGAAAGCTCTTCTAACAAGAAAGAGATCTGTGTGATACTTGTTTACATCGCATTCTGTCAGCTGCAGTATTCAGCATTAGTTTCTTTTGCTCAGGGGTGAAAGTAACTTTCAGGACTTACCGGTACTGCCGGAGTCCTGAGGGGGCGGAGCCTCATCCGGCCCAGGCGGGGCCTCTCAAGATTTGAAGGGCCTGGGGCACCGACTGTGGCTTGGAGCCCCAGGGCCTTTAAATCAACCGGGGCCTCCCAGCTGCAGAGGTGGCTGGGAGCCCCTGGGGCTCAGGGGCAAATTAAAGGGCCCAGGCTCAGCCGCCGCGGAGCTCTGAGCCCTTTAAATCCCGGCCCCAGCCCGGCCGCTGAGCCGCGGGCGGGATTTAAAGGGCTCTGGGCTCCCTGCTGCGGCAGGCGCTCCCGGCCCTTTAAATCCCAGCCCCAGCCTGGCCGCCGAGCCTCGGGCGGGATTTAAAAGGCTCTGGGCTCCCCGCTGCGGCAGGAGCTCCCGGCCCTTTAAATCCTGCCCGCAGAAGCCAGTGCGGTCCGGCACGGCATACTGGCTCTTGCCGGTACGCCGGACCGGACCGGACTGGCTTACTTTCACCTCTGCTTTTGCTCTTAATGAAAATAGCAGGGTAGGTTTGATTATTGTGCTAGGCCAGGGGTTTTCAAACTATGCGTTGCGGCTTGTACGGGAAAGCCACTAGCTGGTCACGAGACACTGTTTACCTGAGTATCCACAGGTACGGCCCTTCGCAGCTGTCACGAACTGCTAA